ATACCTACTGTGTCCCATGTACCCACTAATGTATGTAGAAAGATACATATGCATATGCACTACATATGCAGGGTTGGACTCACAGTGTCCTGAGCCCCTGGGCAAAATTAGGACCCTTGCCCCCTGCAAATCCAGATATATGCTGGTGTAGATTTACCGTGTATTTTATTGTATGTACATGTAATGTTAATGCATGCTTCTGTGTATATATTCACTGTGAGCCATGGTGTAAGTAAATATATGTATGTCTTTGTGTGTCATGTCAGGGTATGTGTATTCAGAGTATATTTAAAGGGAATCTATAATTTCAGATAAACAAAGAGCTCTCACTTGGACTTTCCACATTGTATAATGCTTTCCTATGGGGGTTTTGGGTGACGCTGGATGTCCTCATGCACAACCTGTGGATGCCCAGCGTCAGTTAGGTGACCAAAAGTGGCCTAACCACCCTCTAGTGGTTGTCTGGGATAGTGGGTGTAGAGGAGGGCTAGAGGCCGTAGTTGATGCAAAGGGATAAATGCCGTAGTAGGTGCAGGAGTTAATAGCTTTAATGGAAGCAGGAGGTAATTTGGGCTGTAATGTGTGCAGGGGACATGGAGTCTCCAGTTGATTCTGTGGATATATCAGCTATAGGGGCTGTAGGGGGGACAGGGAGTAATAGAGGCTATAGTAGGGGTAAGGGAAAATATGAGCTATAGTGGGTGCAGGAGAGGGTTAGGGGCAGTGGTCAGTGCAGGGGGTTTTAGAAGCTGTATTAAGTGCAAGGGGTAATAGGAGCTGTAGTAATTGCAGGGGTTATAAGGGCAGTAGTGAGTGTAAAGAGGTATAGGGGCTGTAGTGGGTGCAGGGGCTGTAGTGGGTGAAAAGGGATGCAGAGGGTGCACGTGGTGTTGTGGGTAGAGGGTCTGCATGAGTTAGAGGGGCTTTAGGGGTTGCAAAGGGCAGTGTTGCTTTAGAGAGTAGAGATACAGTGGGGGATAAAGGGCTCTAAAGGTGTAGAAAGCTAGTAGAGGGTGGAGGGGCTATAGGGGTAGAGGTGCTGCAGGGGATGCAGGAATCTTAGGTGCTGAAGGGCATATATGGGCTGTAGGGGGTGCTGAAGCTGTATGGGGTAGAGGGGCTGCAGGGTGTGCAGGGATTTTAGGGGCTGTATGGAGTTAAATGAGAATACTAAATGTGGTGGGTGCAGGGGCTATCAAGGGAAGACGACCGCAGGTGATAGAAGGGATGTAGAGGGTAGAGTGGCAGTAGGGGCTTATAGGTGAGTGGGGCTGTAACAATTCTTCCATGCTTTATGGCAGGAGAATGAGAGAGACCATAGTAATATCTCAACAATTTATTGATAACAAAAAGATTAAAACACTTGCTTAAATCTTGGTGAGCTTTTGACACATGATAACTCACAAATCAGCCTGTGAAAGCACGCTGGCTGAAAGGCCAACAGTCTGTTTTGGGTTCCAAAACTGCCAGATCACATTGGGTTTCCCAGTCTACCTCTCCATGATGTATAATGTCACATATTTCACCCACATCCCTTTAGTATTGCGTTAATTTTACACAAATTGTCTACACTATAAAGTTTTATACATATGTTTTGCAAATATATGGAATAGGCTATTAATGAGGAATATATGCTGTAAGTATGGTGTAATGATAAATAGTTCATAACTTTTATTGGTGTAATTAGGTGACATTTTTTTTACTCAGTGTGATGTAAAACGGTAACAGACTCCATACATGGCTGTGTGTTTGTATTTAAAGGGACACTCCACTTCTCAAATACAAAATAATGAAAAATCATTAGTAGATATAACCCAAATGCAAACTTACAGGCATCTAATGCATTTTTTCATTGGAGTTATATGTAAAAACAGCTTGCAAAAACTGCAGATCTCTTGTCTGCTTCCTTTGCAAGCACTCCTCTGCTAAACCCACCCAGACATAATGTGACTGTTCTATCACAGACTTTGCTAAGTATCTCAATTAGTGATGTACCGAATGGTTCGCCGGCGAACGGTTCCCGGCGAACATAGCATGTTCGCGTTCGCCACGGCGGGCGAACATATGCGCGGTTCGACCCGCCCCCTATTCGTCATCATTGAGTAAACTTTGACCCTGTACCTCACAGTCAGCAGACACATTCCAGCCAATTAGCAGCACACCCTCCCTAGCAGACCCTCCCACCTACTGGAGGCATCCATTTTAGATTCATTCTCAAGCTGCATGCTTAGTAAGAGGAGGGAAAGTGTAGCTGCTGTTCATTAAGATAGGGAAAAGCATAGCTAGGTTAGGGATAAGGGTATGCTTTTTTTAAATTTTTTTTTTCTATGTAATGTAATTGCAGTTAGTTGTCTGCCACTGCTGCCAGCTTCTGTGTCAGGATCACAGTGCATACTGTGCCCATTTCCCCAGTCAGTGCCACCAATTACATCTGGTGTCACAATAGCTTGGATTTAAAAACAAAAAACTTTTTTCACTGTTATAGATTGAATAGCAGTCAGTTGTCTGCCACTGCTGCCAGCTTCTGTGACAGGCTCACAGTGCATACTGTGCCCATTTCCCCAGTCAGTGCCACCAATTACATCTGGTGTCACAATAGCTTGGATTTAAAAACAAAAAACTTTTTTTACTGTTATAGATTGAATAGCAGTCAGT